GCAGGGCAGGGGAGGGAGCGCTGTGCGGAGAAATCCTTCGTTACACTCTCGCCTATCTACCAGTGCAAGTGCTCGGCTCTTGACAAGAGATCTGGGGTCAAAGGTCAACATCTGTCCCTGAGGGAGGGCATCTGTGTGCACAGTAATGAGTGAAAAGGAAGCCAGACTTCCAGCCCGGTTGGTCTCAGTGTCCTCACTTCCTTTCTCGCTCTTCTTTCAACCTGAACTTATTTTGTTGGACTAGTATGCTTAAAAGCTGCCATGTCGTCCTAATAACTGAATAAGCAACTGGCTGTAAGAAAGGAAGAATATTACAGTATGAAAAATCGCACTAGATATTAGGGCTGGACCCAAATATTCACCCCCAGTGGAAATAATACACACCCGCCACCATCGCGCAGCACCCCTGAATATTCGGGATATTCGTCATTAATTGGGACCGAATGTCCAGAGATCAAAAATTGCTATTCGGACCAGCCCTACTAGATATACAAACTGTGGGAATAAATTGGAGAACCTGGAAAACAACATAAGCCAGAACCTGTCCCAACATGCAACACTAACTGCGTTTACATGGATTTTATCTTATACAATCTGAATTATAGCTCATTCTGATTTCTTTTTCTTTTCTTTTTTAAACACCACATTTGTAACTAACTGGTCCAATCTGGCTCAAATGGCAGAATTCTTTTTTTTTTTAAATCAAATCTCATGGGGTCATGTTGACCTTTTAATAATCCATACAATATAAAAACAGCACTGTAAACCCTGAGTCCAATCATTTGTTTCTGGTTGAAATGAATATATTCTTTTGCACCCGTGATCAGTAAACTTCATGAGAAAACGTCTTTGCTTCATTCACTTGCTTGTAGTCTTTGGAAAAGGACAAGGCACCAAGTTTATTGTTACTGATGAGCTCTAAAGGTCCCTCTGTTTACAGATTGCAAAAAAATTATGTGCTGCAGAGATTTCTACTGAATGAGAGATCAGTGCAAAAAAAGGCAGAAATGCAAAAAATAGTTCCCAGGCATGTTGTGGGTCCATGTTGGTCCTTTTTGTCTACTGAATGAATTACATCCATCCATCCATCATCTATACACCGCTTAATCCTCACTACAGGCTGGAGTCTATCCCAGCTGACTCAGGGTGAAGGCAGGGGACACCCTGGACAGGTCACCAGTCTATCACAGGGCTACACTTAGAGACAGACAACCAAGCACACTCACATTCACACCTACGGACAATTTAGAATCACCAATTAACCTCAACATGTTTTTGGACTGTGGAAGGAAGCCGGAGAGAACCCACGCTGCACGGGGAGAACATGCAAACTCCACACAGAAAGATCCTGGGTGTCCTCACCGGGACGCGAACCGGGGATCTTCTAGCTGCGAGGCAACAATGCTCGCCACCGATCCACCTTGCAGCCAATGAATGAATTACATTTTCGCATTAAAGTTGGAAAAGATAATCTTCTTCTAACATATTTCAACAGCAGTGTTTGCCTGTGGGCTCCAGATGTCTGTCTCAAACATCAGTCTCTTAGCTCTCCTACAATGAGATAATACTTCCACATTAGTTAGACTGTGACACTTTAAATATTACTCTTGCAATAACCACTGTGATGCTGTTTTGCAACATGAGTATGACTGTTTGGATGCGTACACAGCTGTTCTCATTACAACCTCAATGATGCATCAGTAGGCCTCTAATAGATAATGTCAGTATGGGCGTATATGTTCTACAATATGACACTTTTTTTTCTCCCCTCCTCGAACACAATGTAGAAAAGATGCTTGGGGTTATTTCGAAATGGCACTGACATAGTACAATTTACATTTTCATTTCGCGGATGCTTTTATCCAAAGTGACGCACATCTGAAAGTAGATCAACATTCATACACCAACGGCGACAGCTATCATGCAAGATGCTGCCTGTCATTGGGAGCAACTTCGGGTTCAGTGTCTTGCCCAAGGACACTTCAACTGTGGAGGGGTGGGGGATTTTCTGCAGTACATGTAGCAGAGTATGTACATCACATAGGAGCAAGCGATGGTGCAGTCAAGCAATGACTTTAAGCACGAAAGTAGATTGCAAACTAGTTTGTGAAATACAACGATGTAATAAGAGTGAGCAATCAACCATTTTCATTTTCACACATACTTCTCAAGAATATTCGGTATCGTGATCGAAGGGATTCTCTACTGCCTAAAAATGACACCAGCCCTAAAAACCCAGCATCAGTCAGGCTCGAGTTATTGCACGTCCATTTCTGAGAGGACTGTCTTAAAATGCAAATATGGCTCTAACAACAAAACAAAACAACACTCCCAGGGGTCGGGTGCTGTGTATAGCTATTGCTCGTTAATTCAGGCATACATTTGTTTTGTTTTCTACTCACAAGCACTTCCCCTCACTCTCAAGGGTGTCCTGCTAACACAGCCTGGGGCCTCAAGCATAAACCCAACACTTGTTATAAATAGAAAAGCATCGCTATCTGATCGTTCACGCTGCAGAGTCTCGACCAGGATCTGACGGCAAAATATTAAACTCTACCATACACCGCGAGGAGCTGACACTTTGTAGGCCGTGACGCCACCGCGGATGACAAGATAAGCTGTCGGTGTAGCTCTCCGAGCTGCCTGCCGGCACCACGCCTTGGGCAAAAATGAGAAAAAAAAACATATATATATATTGCGTAGCTGCACAGGAGGTGTTTGCAGTGATAAGGTGAGGTAATGTGACTCAACCTGTCTGCCAAGTACAGGCACACACAGGACGGGAAGTGAAAAACGAGAGGAAGTTAGTGAGTCTGAGAGCCCGGAAACTGACTAACCTCAGCGTATCACCTGTAGAAGCACAGATCACAGACGTTGTGTGTGGATGCAGTGCAGACGTGCGCAGGATGCAAAACTTCACAAAGTACAAAAACATTCCGACAAAACGCCAAACCTGTCAACCGGCTGTCTGCAAAGCCACACTTGCCGGCGCGAGTGCAACGTGTTCATGAAGACAAAGGAATGCCAAAGTGAGACACGTGACGCCGTGCGCAAACCTCTCGGCATTTTCTCTCCTGGCAGAGACAATTCCTGAAATGCAAAGGAATGCATTCCTGTGGCCTTGGCGGTTCAGGTAGTCAGAGGCAAACAAGAGTTCTCTCCTAAAACTACGTGAAGGTCGAGTTCCGTCTGGCTGTGTCAATACAAACTTTGTCAATAATCCTTGAAAATACACAAAATCCGTCTGGTTTCTATGTAAACATGCGACTGACTGATGTATAAGTTTAACGGTACAACTGAAAGGATGAGCTGAGTTTTTTGTCATCTGAAGGAAGGTAGGAAAAGGTGAGGATTAAACCTACGTGTAATTCATATCAAAGCCAGAGGTTATCTCGCCCAGTGTTGCACGGCTAGAGGACATTCAGGACGACAGGCTTTAATAAATCAGTGCAGTTCAGACCTAAGCACCCAGTCATGTGTGAGGGCATTATTTATAGCCAGTGCATAGCAGCGATGGTAAATGAACATCACAGCTTTGAGCCCCAGTGTCTTGTTTTTATCTCAAAACAACTGACAAAGTGTAAAATAAAATAAAACAGAGTTGTAAGACTATCATTAGTCATTCAGCTGCTGTACATGCTGCAGCTCCTTCCATCGACACTGAGCAGCTGTTTTGCTCCTGTAGGCCTACAGAGCCTGCATGGTTTCTGAAACAGTATTTCAGTGTTTTTATGTAAAGTTGGGAAACAAGTGGAGCTTGCTGCAGACCAGTTCTGGATGCAGAGTGATGTAATACTTCATTTCCTCCAGGCTTTACATTGTATGCCTCAGTATGCTGAACACCAGCAGGCCAGTCTGCCCGCTTTGTCACAGCAAAACTGCACCGTATTTAAAGCCTATGCCATGAGAAACAAGATTACACATTTTTTGAAACATATGTTTGTTTGTTTTTGTTTTAAAAAGTGCAAACACTGATGTAACTTAGGGGAGGAAACATGCATTTGCAAAGGACTGGGCCTCTTAATGGCATAAAGTTAATACAGTTGTATGTTGTTTGAGTCATATATGTTAAGAAACAACATTTAACCAAAATATTGGATAGTGTTAAATAGGATGTAACAGTGGCATTTTCCCTCATGCAGCTCTGTGCATGCAAAACTCTATTTAAAATCTTCCAATTTAAAGGTTACACAACTTGATGCATATTATTAGGCTTCTTGCAACATGATTTACAACTGTACAAGAGTCACTTTAATCTACTGAAAAATCCGGCGCACATATGATCCATCTAACAGTTCTAGTGTTTGATATAGTTTAAACTAAGTGGCTGCTTGCCACGTTAAACCAGAGGTCCACTGCTAGCACCAACAACACACGTTTCCGGTAGCAAACAGTGTGGAGAAAATAAAAAAACCTTAAATTTGATTGAGTTAAAGTAACGCTTGGAATGCAACATATATGCCGAATTGACGAAAACAACATAAAGATTGAGAAAAAGGCTTTAGTGTCACTTAAAACAGCGTATTACGTCGCCAATGAGTAAGGAAACCCTAAATTGCTACATCTTTCTACGGTGTTTGGAGCGCGAGGGAAGGCAGCCGGGAGGGTGGTGATAGTGGTGGGGCTGGCGGAGGGGGCGACGCTGTCAAAGCACATGACAAACGCGGCGACAAAGTCTGGTGACTGATGATTTTTACAACACACTTTCTCTGTATTGTTACGATGAGAGCAGAAATCACATTCCGAGCATATTTGCTCCGCAGGTCCGCACACGGCCGTTACGCACCGTAAACAAGTCGACGTGGAAAACATGTTTACTATCTCTACACTGCGTAACCGGAGGTCGAACAAAAAAAATATGAAACGCAGTAACGCGACAGTAACGTATCCGTCGCACGTGTGTGTAACTGTGTTCACGCTGCATTGTTATTATTATTATTTCTTTTTTTTTTCTTGCATGTGTCTTTGTGGATGTTTACCAGGTTGGACTGTGCACATACCCTTGTTCTCCGGTTGGTCTGTGTCAAATGCATCCACAGCTCAGCCTTTGCACTGGATGTAACCAACTGACAGTCTTCTGGTCGGTGGTGGTCGTCCACGGCATCAACAATAACGCCCTTTTTCCCCTTTATGGTGCGTCGTTGCTGTAATCACCAAAGTGTCTCCGTTAAATTAAAAAAATTAAAAAAACACAAAAAAAAAGGGAAAAAAACGTGTCGGTGCTTCCTGATTGAGGTACAGTGGCGGTGATGTTGTTGGTGAGGGGTGGGGCGGAGTGCAGCTTTTTAGTCCGCCAAGAAATGTTGGCTACAGCAGCACGTTGGTGCACGTCTGAGCATGATTAGTGGCTCGTGGCTCCACAGTGGGGAGGGTTGGAGAAATGCGCGCAGGGTTGGAGTGATTTTCAACACGATCTCACGCTCGCAGAAAAAACGAGTCAGACGGCAGCAGGATCCTCTCAGCAGCTGAGACACGGTTGCGCAACGTTTATCAGCTTGCAAGATCAGTGCCTTGCTCAAGGGCACTCTGGCTGCAGAGGAACAGTACCTGCTCGTAAAAGTTGCTCATAAAACTGATCTCTCCCACCATAATGTCCAACATCAGGATTTTCACAAGCTTCATTTACACGTTTTTTATTTTTTTTTATTTTTAGGTGTAAAATTTTAAAGGTACATTTCTGAAGCCTTACCTCTAACTGACTGGGGTAGCAGTGTCAGAAGCTTCATTATGAGCCAAGTATCTCTGTTCATTAAGGTTTATTTTCCTCTAAAAGTAGACAAAACACCTCAAAATAAAGTGATTCATAGCTACAAATGACTTAATTTTCCATTAATATGAAAATGTGAAAAGCCAGCCCCTTATGATCCTATCAGCTTAATTAAAATTGAGAATTTACAGAGTAAATTGTTTTCATCTTAAACTCAGTTTAATTTGAGCTTTTTAACAAACCTTAATGTTATCAGTTTAAAATTCACAAGTAAGGATCCATTAACAATCCATTCATTAATAATTAATTTAGCACTGAAAGCAGGCCAAACACTTTCAAATCCAAGTTTAGGTGTAAATTAGGAAGCCACAACAATAACAGTTCAAAATCTCTCAAGTTGAAACTGTCCCAGATGAGCATTGGACACAGTGAGGACTTGACAGTGTTGTGGACGGACTACATTCAAGATTTATTTCTTTGTCATTATGCAAAATAAGACTATATTAAATAATTACAGATGTTTTCTCTTTGTGCTTCTTACCAAAAAAAACAAATTACAATAAATAAGTAATAAAAATAAAATTAACAATCTGCCAAATTTGCCACATTCAGACAAATATCAGACTATGTTTTTGTTTTGTTTTGTTTTGTTTACCAAAATGTACCAAATTGGTACATAAAGTTGAAGTAAAACTGACAGAGCTGATCTACATTAACCCCGTAAAAGTCAAATATATATATACATAAAGATTTTTTTATTATTATTATTATGTTGGGGGTTTTTTTTACATTTCAGGTGTTCTAGAAGCCTCTAATGCACAAATTACAAACTTTTCAATTATTATGATTTTATTTTATTTTTTTTAATGTTTTAGTAAGTTCTTAGGGGAATTGCATAACATCCCGACGTTGGGTCTAGTTGGGAGCAGAATTTCTGTATTTCTAATCACATTGTCTGAACAAATATGCAGAAAAAAAAACTATGGCCTAATTTGCGGCTTTGATCGAGGATGTAGCTCCATACCATTTTATATAATGAAAGATAACTGCAAAACACCGCTGTATTTTATGAATAATCCTTTAGTGTTTAATTAAAATGGGATAAAATGTAATTTAAAACAATATTGAATTTCAATCAAAGTGTTCTGTCATGATCATTTACAATTATAGCCCCAAAAACAATTATTTTCTCCTGAAAGTTATCTAATTAATCTCAAAATCGATCTCTCTATTTCAGATCTGATCAGTTGCTTTCTGCACAAAATATAGAAGACCTCTCTTTCCTGCTGGTATTCTGAAATGGGCAAAGTATTTACAGGCTAAGTCTTTTAAATGCAAATTAATCCTAAAACTGCTTACACATTCCACTCAAGTCAACACATTCTGGCTGGCCTATAATCCTCTCTGCCTACCATAGCAAAAGGAAAACATGCAACCAATTAGAGTTTCTACATCTCTGCAGTCAAGAACGCTCACACCTGTCCCTCAGCAAGGCCACAAACATCCCTTAAATCATTTCAGAACCTTTACAACAAAACAGGCAAAAACCCCAGGATCAGTTACATTTTTCTTTCCTATTTCTTTGGGTAAGATACAGATACAGCTTCACATATTGTGTAAGGAAAGACTTTCAAGCCCTGCATCAGGAAAGACTCTTTAAGCTCAAAAATTGAAATACATTTAGAATGTAATGATAGTGAATCGATATATTTCTATTTTTCAAAATGTGAACATGCGAAAAGTGCAACATCCCATGTAATCTGTCAGATGCACATGTTAATCTGACGACCATCATCACACAGAAACGTTGAACAAATTCATAACAAACTCAATTTAATAATTAAAAAGGCATTTATAGAGTTTTTGTAACAGATTTGTTGTATGACACCTAAGCTATGGGCATTACATTGTTAACTACGGTGGCCTACAGGGTGAATGACGTGCATAAACAAACGAGCTGCATATACATGAATGACTGCATAAACAGAAACAAGCTGCAAAAAGAAAACACTGCATATACAGACACACTGCATAAATGAAAACAAATGCAAAAAGAAAACGTCTCATATTTAGTCACACAACGGAAGTGCCACAGGCCTCTAGGGGCAGTAGTGAGCTTTTCACCTGAGAGGCAGGCAAGTAGCATTAGTTGAAGGATAAGCTGTATAAAAAAGGTATATATTCTCTTGTCTACGTAGATAAACATAATAACAGTGACAACACAGGGTGACGGTAGTAAAACACCACTTCAGCACCCATATAGTCATAGTGACTTAAAAGCGAAAGACTTCAAAACTGCCCCTAGAGGCCTGTGGCACTTCCATTGTGTGACTGGATATGCAGCGTTTTGTTTCGACAGCGTGTTTCTGTTTATGCAGCGTATTCATGTATATGCAGCTCGTTGGTGTATATGAATGTCATCGGCCACCGTAGCACAAAAATATGAGTAATATTGTAGTAGAAAAGTGTGAGTGCTATCACTGAGAGAAAGGTCTGTTATTTGTGTGTGTGTGTGTGTGTAAAGTTATAATTTAAGTCTCTTCCAAAAAAAAAAAAAAAAACATAAATGTGTAAGTTTGCACCAACACTTGTGTAAAATCAACCCAGTTGGACTTGTATGGACTCCCTAAGGAATTTTAAAGGAGCTTCATGTGCTTGTCAGTTATTTTTGTCTGCTTGGCCTGAACATGTTTACGGTGAAACACAATGGAATTCCCCTCCCCACCACCATAAGTCATCTGCATTCCTTTTTACACAGCAGTTTTTTTGTTTGTGCTACACTTTTGCATTTCGGAAACAATGATTTTGCCTCATTGATAGCTTCTGCATCAGCCATTTAGCTAAATGTCATATTTTAAAGTGCGATATATTTACTAGATGTATAATTAGATGTGGTGTGCACTTAATAAACGATAGATGGCGCATTCTTTGTCATTTTATGTAGTTAGCATCCAAATCATTCATATCCATGCCAAATCTATTTGATCAATAGGTCTGTTGTGACTGAAAATGTGATGGCCCGTGGCCACCAGGTGTGTGTGCTGGACCCAAAACGAAAGGGAGACGGGAAATGAAGGGAGGAATAGGTTTATTTTAGGGGGAATCCAGGGGGTGTGGGGCACCAGGAGGCAGGTAGGGAATCCGGGGCAGGTGTGCAGGTTGCAGTGGTGGTGCAGGAGGAGGAGTGTCCGTGCTGGTGCTGGTGTGGAGGTTTTCTGTGCCGGGGCTTGTGTGAAGGTGTTCCGTGCTGGTACTCGTGTGGAGGTGCCGGTGCTCGTGTGGAGGTTTTCCCGTGCTGGTTGGTGCTCGTGCATGGTGGGAAATCAACTAGTGTAGCCGTGAGGGTAAAGGCTGGAATGCAGGGCAGACAGCTGGATGCTGGGGCTGGCGGAGAGGACGCTGGAGAATAAACAGATACACACAGTTAGTCGAAACTTGAAAGTTACGAGGAACTTACGAGTTCTAAACTGCTGCTAAGGGCCTGAAAGTACCACTCGTGGGGTTCACAATCATCTGGCACCGGAGTCTCGTGAAGCAGTGGCTTTTAGGCTGCCTGCTGATTGAGCTGATGAGCTGCAGCTGAGCCAGCGTCCTCCTCCGATCGGCCCCACCCAGCCTGAAAGTGAAAACCACGCCAGCCAAACACACAGAAAACATCCATCCATCCATTTTCTATACACCGCTTAATCCTCACTATGCTGGAGCCTATCCCAGCCGACTTAGGGCGAAGGCAGGGGACACCCTGGACAGGTCACCAGTCCATCACAGGGCCACACTTAGAGACAGACAACCAAGCACACCCACATTCACACCTACGGACAATTCAGAATCACCAATTAACCTCAACATGTTTTTGGACTGTGTGGGAGGAAGCCGGAGAACCTGGAGAGAACCCACGCTGCACGGAGAGAACATGCAAACTCTACACAGAAAGATTCCGGGTGTCCTACACAGAAAACAGAAATCCAAAAAACACACATCTAAAACAAATCCATAATAAACGAGTGACTAAAGATGGCAAGGCGTTGTGTTTGGGATGTTAATGGAAGATTTTAACTTAATCTTTCTTTTTAAACATTTTTGCTTATAATGCCATGTATGAAATGAATCATACCTCTTGAAATTGTTTTCTAAAAGCTTTCATACTATTCCAAATGGCCCCGGTCCTTTATAATATGCTCTACAGCATTCTAACACACTATACATTGACAACAGCTGATGCAATAGTTCCCCAGTTAATTATGAGTCAAGTCATCGCTATAAACCAACAAGCTTCGTAAGCTTCCTGCTGCATCACATCAGTTGTGCCTTGGGGTTATTCACAAGATGGGGAAAGGCAATAAAACCATAATGTCCAAGTGTGTTGAAGCATCAGTGGCTACAGTGCGAGGCATAATCAAAAATAACGCAATGCTTCCACCCCGATCCCTTCCCTGACAAGAATGAGAGGCCAATTAGAATCCAAGGAACCCCACCAAGGCCACCCTCATGAACCTGAGCAATTCTGGTATCAACATCTCAAGGCAGACACTCTGCATGAGGCTGGTCTCCATGGA